GTCCACATGTACTGACTTCCTGTCAGCACTAACTATTAGTGCATTTCAGCTGGATACATGTTTGGTCAATTTCAGACTACAGAAGCAAAAATCTTAGAATTTCCTCATCTATAGCATTAGCGATTGGTCTGTGAATTTTAATAATGGTTTTATTAGCTGCTTGCCTTGTGTGCATATGGATATTATTCTATCATTGACAGCACTGTGCTCAGATTAGATCTTTACATTTACATGTTCTTTTTGACAATGAATGAAATGCCATTCCTTTTTAATTTGTCAGTACTGAGCATACAGGGCTATCTAATTGTCTGATTCAAAGGGCCAATAACAGGCCATTTGAACTCACTAATGACTTCAGCATATTAATCGTTGTGTATTATTGCAGCAGTTCTCTTTCCTTTGTAGCCATGCCCCTTCAGCAAATGATGACCCTAAAAGTTGTACTTCATCCACATCCTTGAAGTAAACCCTGCCTTGAAGAAGCAGCCCTTCCCCAGTTGTCATTTGCATGCCTTGCACCCTGAGGAGCTCACGTCTAGTATTTTGCCTGGCAGTGTTCTACTACTGTTCAAAAGGTTTCACTGGCTCATTTACTGAAGAGCGGACTCCCAGCTCCTCCTTCCTAGGTAGTCTTAGTGTGAAAGTTTTGTTGAAACTCGTACGCCATGGGTGAACCTGCTAGCATTTGAAACACCAACGGCATATTTTCCAGGATCATAGCAACAAGCACACTGCTAGAGATAGACACACAGATGATGGGTAGCATCACCAGGAGATCCCTTTTTCTAAATTACAATGTTTGAGGCCATCTGATGTCGCCAATATGAGTGTGGCATAATTTAAGGTGTGACACGGATGGTGACAATCCCAACACACCCCATAGTAGATGGTTTTACAAGGTTTTCTTTGCAGCTGATGTTTCAATAAATCCATTTTGGTTTTAAGGTTCAATTGTAGGAAAAATTATGACTTTTTAACTCATGGTATTTGAATTACCACTATTTATATACTTATTTACATTAGAATTTAAGATAGTTCAGGTTAAAATTGATTGTATATAATGAGTATTTAAGCTCTATTTGATTACAAAACTGCATATTAATAATGGTTATTCTGTAGTATGTATCCAATGAGCATTTAAAAGAAATATTTTATACACCTACATGTAATAATAATGTTTGTCATAGCACTAGTTTTTTTAAATTTAACTTTATTTGTGTTTTAAAGAAAAATATATTCTAAATACTATTTTTTGTTGTTGTTTTGCTTTGTTTTATTTTATTTGGGGGCTTATACAGCTCTTATCACACTCCATCCATCCATTGTGTCAAGCACATTTGTACATATGATCATCATTTTCAAAACATTTTCTTTCTACTTGAGCCCTTGGTATTAGCTCTTTTTTACCCCCTCCAACCTCCACCCTCCCTTCATCATGAAACTTTGATAAGATATAAATTATTATTATTTTCTCATGTCTTACATTGACCAATATATCCCTTCACCCACTTTTCTGTTCTTCCTCCCTCTGGGAGGGAATTATATGTAGATCATTGTGATTGGCTCCACATTCTCCCCCCACTTTCCCCTTACCCTCCTGGTATCGCTACTCTCATTACTGGTCTTGAGGGGTTTATCTGGGCTGGATTCCCTGTATTTCAAGCTCTTATCTATACCACTGTACATGCTCTGGTCTAGGTGGATTTTTAAGGTGAAATTGGGGTCATGATAGTGGGGCGGGGGGGTGATAGAGAGGAAGCATTAAGGAACTAGAGGAAAGTTGTATATTTCTGTGGTGATATACTGCCCCCTGACTGTCTTGTCCTTTGTGACACTTCTGTAAGGGGATGTCCAATTGTCTACAGATTTACATATGTACATGCCTATGCCTGTATTTAGACCTCTATAAATGTCCTTTGCCTCCTAGTTCTTTCCTCTTTTCCCTTTTCTCAGTACTGGGTTTTAATTGAACCAATCTGTTTAATTTTAAATCTTCATGAATGATTATTTTAGAAATTTACATGAGATTCCTAGACTGAATGAAATGTCATTTCAATTTGTGCCTCTGGTCTTTCCGAAAGCTATTCAGGTTTCCTTAATATTTCTAGGTGGGGTTTTTTTTGTTGTTGTTGGAAACATTTTCAGTTGCATTTTCCCCACAGAAAATTTTCTGTGACAGTATTCTAGCAGTTGATTTACCTCTTTTGAAAAACAAGATGTAATTTTTTGTTTTGATTTTGATTCTCTCTAACTGTTGTACATTGTTTTGAGATGTGCCTTATTGTTTGTTGTATTAACAATTTACTATGATAATGTCCTCAAAGTCTTCTAGTTTTTATACCTAAGTTTTAACTAAAGATTATTGTTATTGTTAGCTGCTAGTGAATGAACACCCAACTTCCAGTGACCCCATGCATAATGGATAGAAACACTGCCTCATCTGAATTTATCTTAATACCATGGGCGGCGGGTGGGGGTTATTTCCTATACTTCTCCATCTAAAATTTTCTACACATTTTGTGGAACTGAATTTTTAAAAACTGTTGAAAACAAATTTTTGTCCTCATAATTTTCTTGAATCGAACTCAATCAAAGATATTGAAGATTTAATTACTAATAATATCATTCATTCTGAGTACCTGGTCATGTTTGAAAAATGCTAATTTGGGGATAAAGACAACAGTTTATTCTATCTTCTTTGTGTTTCTTCTGTGTGCGTACCTACTGGACCCTGTGAGCATATTTAGCAAATTCATCTGATGGAGAGCCTGCTGTTTCTCCTGCTCACATTTCTCTCAGTTGTTGGAGACTGAGTCTTTTGTCAGGGAGGCTGCAAAGCAAACTGTTTTATATTCTGGGGTAACTCACTTCCCCAAAGATCCAAGAGGAGATACTTTTTATACCTTCGTAAACATTTCGTGCAACTTAAGTGTTATTTTCCTGCTCATAAAATTCTGTTGACTTAACTGATAAGAGGAGTTAGACTCTTAATTCTGAAATAATGATCTAAGAAGTGAGCATAAAATAAATGATGACTGTATAATGTATTTGTGTAGCCTTTATCTGTTTGTTGCTAAAATTTGTGAGTAACTGAATTCCAACTCTATACCTTTTCAAGTGTTATATGAACATTGTAGGGATTGCATGTTTTGACTATATTACACTTATGAAAAGAAAAAATATTGTGTTCATAAAGTTTTTTGTTCTTAAATAAAATAGAATAAAGCTGGAGTCACAGTCATGATTTTCTCTAGCTTTCTAATATATATTTAGTAATAAACCTTAAAATATAATGTGTATGAGACTCGCCTTGGATTCTGTTAACAAATTAAGATTTTTTTAAAATTTTGTAGTGTATCATTAAATCACTAAGTGTAAGCTTAATTGTAGCTAGGTAGATTCAGGAAGCATAAACCATTTTTTTATGCTGAGCCATTTATGTAAATTTTGTGATATTTAATTGTTAACTAAAAAAGAATATAGATAGCTATAGCTTAACATCCAAGATAAGTTCTGTGAAATAGGACTTCATGTGACTTGCATGTTGTATGAACACTTCTGTCTGAGAGGCATGGGGCTCCCAGGAACATGTGGGTTGTTGAACAGCTCCTACTGTGGTTACTCTGGTTCAACCTGACATTTTGCCTTTTCTTTTAAGCCTGAGGTTCTCAACCTGTGGGTCACAACCCCTTTGGTGGTTGAACAACCCTTTCACAGGGGTCACCCAATTCATAACAGTCAGTAGAAAAATTACAGTGATGAAGTAGCAAGGAAAATAACTTTATGGTTGGGGGGTCACCACAACATGAGGAACTGTATTAAAGGGTCACGGCATTGGGAAGGTTGAGAACCACTGTTTTTAAACCATCTGCAGGGAGATCTGTAATAACCTACCTGGGCGGAGGGGGGATGACTGAAGGGACCAAGAGTATCCAGGTGCTCAACTGGACCACACAGGGAAAAACACAGGGACTAAATTTACTGAGATGTGGGAGTTGAGTGGGTACCAGGGTTGGGAGTTTAAGCTTGGTCTCCAACACCACAGATCAGGTGACTTTTGGGGTACGTGCAGCAGCCAGGCAGAAGTAGAGCTCTGATGTCCAGATGAAGGTCCAGCTTGGTACTCAGACACCTAAGTGTCTACTTCTCTGGGTGTGTGTGCAGTTGGGTTGCTTGAATGAACATTAAATGAGACATTAGTGTATTTGAAATTTTAGATCATTTCAGTTAACATAAAAAACCATGGAAAACAAAAATGAAATTTGGCAAAATGTTTCTGCTTTAAAAATGTTTGTGTTAGTATACATGGATGAAGATGAAGTCTTTATGAGCATTTCAAAAAGAATTTTTCAGAGCTGTAACATAAAAACATGGAATTTTGGAACAAGAAAAGATGTAACTGATGACCTGGGTTAACCTGGTAATTTTATAGATGAAGGAAATTTAGAATATCAGAATGATGTCAAGTTGATTTGCTGGCTCCTGATATAATACTGAGTGTACTATCATGGCATAGAGGGAGATGTAGTCTCTCTGAAACTTTCACAAGTGCATACACACTGTTTAGGAGAAAGAAGTGTTGAACCTGATCAACCTGTGTTATAAATAAGAATTATATTTATTGGATATTTTATAGTTTGCCGTTGGTAAAATTCCCATCTCTACGTGGGATATTCTAAAACCATACTTAACTGGTAATGCTTAAAAATTACAGAAAACAAAACACATTCATTCTTATTTTTCTATACTTAGGTTATTAATATGAAAACATTGTTAGAATTTTCTTGAAAATATACAACTAGAATGTAAGAACTTGAATTCTTGTCATTCTTTGCAAGTAGTGATTAAAGATAATTTCTCCTTTGCTGTTGTGCACTTTTAAAAGGTGTTTTTCTTTTCTTTTCTTTTTTTTCTTTTTTATTTATATGGAGCGTTAGTTTAAATTTACATTAGAGTACTTTCTGGGCTTATCCTCATTGAATTTTGTGTTTTTCTTTTAGCTTTGGCAAGCGTTCTGCAGGAAGCTTTAGGCGTGGCTGTGAATGCATTGTTTTAGAGCCTTCTGAAATGATTGTGGTAAGAATACTCTAAAGATTTCCAACTTTATAAAGTAAAGGCACTTTACTAAAACTACTTACAATGCACTATATTTTATACTATCAGATATAAGTATTTTATGACTTATTATGGATTTGTAATAACGATGCAATGATTATTTGCACAATTTAATTAAATGTAAAAGACATTTAAAAATGGACAAGTGCCTGTGTTCTGTGTTTCAGCTCTGTAACTTGATCTATTTAACTCAAATTGTGGGAGTAGTTTTGAATTGTAGGATTTTAGCTCTCCAAATGTTGAATAAAATGAATGATTAACATCAAATGAACTACAGTAGTAATCTTCAGGGAGCAATGAACATAAATTCACTTAAGAAACTGGGGAAAAAATAGAGGGCTAGTGTGCTGGTTAACATCTTACGCTTTTAACTAAATGGTGTAATTTTAAAACTGTATAAAACAGACTATCTCCAAATCAAATAATGTTAAAAGGTATTAGCAACAAAATTATGTTTTTAAAACTTTGAAAGGGCTTGTCATGCTTGTTTACTGTATAAAAATCATTTTAAAACAGGATACTATATACAGTACTACTTTTCAAAAATCATAGATGAAAAAATTATTTTCCAGGACAATTGATGTTGATACTTTCATTATCTACCAGCCCATCTTGAAAAATGTCATTTGTAAAGTAAAAGTTGCCTAATATTGGTGACTCTGAAAGATGACCTGAAGTATTTGATAAAGGAACCCAGATGTATTTACAGAGAAGATTTAAGGTTCTTCCCCATGATATCATAGAGGAAATTCTAACAGAGAACTTCCTCATTGGAGTTAGTGAAAATACTTAGTAAAATTTCACAAAAATTTACTCTGAAGTGGGAAAGTAGAAGGGAAGCAAGTGAAGATTTAGGATTGGTCAAAATGCTGGTGGATCTAGAAGGCTTCCCATCATCCTAAACATTCTAGAGCTCCGATGGAGATTTTCACCTTCGCTAGTTCAGTTTTAGGAGTTCTTTGAAGGATTTTTGATCTTTTAAATACTTGGAGCATTTGACACTAGCCAGCACTACAGAAACTAGTGTAAGTACAGTTTTTGAGTCCAAGCATCCCTATGTTGTGAGCAGTCACACTTCAAATATATGTAACGAAGATTACATTACTCTTGCTTTCCATTGTTAGTTCACTCATCAGCCTTCCTAAAATAAGAGAAAAAGAAGAAAAAAAACTAAAGTCATAGAATGAAAGTAGGACAAGAAACACTTAGGTAATCTACCAAAGCCAATCTCTGCTTGAGTCATTTGGGATTTGCTGCCCCGCCCTGTGCTTACATACTTCAAATAATTGTACTCCAGTTAAGACAATGTGGCAGTTCCTTTCCCATGTATTCTTATCCTAGGAGATCTTCTGTGACTGAATCAGTACAAAGACTACTGAAACTGCCCTCATTGAAACTACAGGAAACTCAGAATTTCCCATATTGTCCTAAGTGGAACTGAAAATGCCCTTTCATAAAAAGAAAAGTTAGTCAAAAAGAGTGGCAGAGAAGTCAAACACACTTAAGGTCTGCCTTGATATTTAACTACAGATGCCTTTGCAGAAAGAATGAATATAGTCTATCTGTAAAGTCTTTGTTTTCTCCCTGTGCCTAATCTTTATAAGGCATGTTGTGTTTAGAGAAATTAAGGTGGGTTTTTTGTTTGTTTGTTTGTTTGTTTTTTGGGGGGTGACCAATTTTAGGTGGACTATATGGATGAAAATGAAGAATATTTTCAGCGTCAAGCTTCTCATAGACAGTCTCGAAGGAGATTTAGGAAAATCAACCAGAAAGGTGAAAGACAAACTATCATTGACACTGTGGATCCGTACCCTGTGGGCAAGCCACCTTTGCCTCGAGGCTACCATACGGTAAGTTTCCAAAGCAGAATATTTTTATTTATATTTAGTTTATATCTAATTACACCTTTAGTTTTTACTGGTAGTTTCATAGAAAGGCATTTTACATTTTCTATTTTTAATGAATAATTATTGAAAGAGCAGATTTTACTAGAAACACAAGATAAAGTTTTTAGCTTTGAAGATGCTGAAAGGCATTACCTTTTTTGTTTCTTAAAATACCTTTGAGGATTAGCATAGTGTTAAGCATAGAAAATGTAGCATCTTTTCTTGAGTTCCTATTTTAAAGTTTGATTCCCTTAAAATGTTTGGTATCATATCAGTTTTTTATTAAGAGCTTGTATGTAAAAATTGCATGTTAGGTTTTTATTTCACTATGGGCATATTGTCTGATAATTCTTTTTGGTTGTTTTTAATGCACTGAAGTGAGATAAGAATAATTTGAAAAGCACTTTTAAAATCTAAGTCACTGTGAAAATCCTCTGAAGTATTTCTATTAGGTTCTGATACTCTTAATGTTGCAACTCACTTGGTTGTTATTTATTTCATTGACAATTGAACTGATTTTTATTTTTAAAGAAACTGGATACATTTATTATACACTTTGTGCAAGACCTTCATTAAGTTTCTTTTAGAGCCTTATTTTTTATGCGTAAATGCTCTTTACAAGTGTCCTCTTATGGGTAACCCAAAATATAGGCAGTCCCCACTTTACAAACAAGTTCTGTTCCTAAATCTTTTATTAAATTGAATTTGTTTGTAAGTTAGAGCAATGAGATAGGGGTTTCTATCTTGTCCATTAAGCAAATATTTATCATAGCATGCAGCATATAATGTACCTTTCTACTTATAAAAAAATTAAAGAAATACTTCTGGAGTCATAATTACTTCTTGGTGGTGATTGTAATGATGATGATATTGTTGTTTCGGTATCACAAAGTAACACCAGTTTACTATTTTCTACATGTCAATCTTTTAATATAATGGGCTTTTCTGAGGTTAATTCTTAACTACAGGTTGTATGTAAGTTGAATGTTCACAACTTGGGACTACCTGTAATTATAAATATATTTGACAGTGTTTTTAACTGAAAGTAGCTTGAGTTTATGGCTATGCCATAAGTAAATCAAGGATTGCTTATCAATTCATAGAATCCCATTACATGGATAAGCATGTGATTTTAATTTTCAGATAAAAAACAAAAGACAATTGACATCTATTTTACATCTTATTTCTTATTTTTCTTATCTAGACATTTCTTCCAAAGAATATTTATCAATATAGGATGCATAGGAATTTGTATGTGGAATTAAAATGATTCATTTGATTTGTAACTTTTAAGAGCTATGATATATTTTCTATCTACACACCATATACTCTAAGACAGCCCCTTGTATTTGTATATTTCATGTCACGTTGCTGACCAGCTAGCAACTTCCTTCTCCCACTACCCTTGCACGGTTTTAATTTAACATGAAATTCCTAGCTGAATCATTCTATTGATCCCATTTGGAAAGGGTGACTTTTTACTCATCACAAAGAGCTTTGTTTGCCTGCTGGGGAGACAATGTGGTATTTACAGAAAACACACACTCACAAAAACTCTGAAAGGTTTTCCATTAACATTGTCTCTAAAAGAGGGTAATATTTTTAGTGTTACAGCAGCATATTAGGAGGAAATAGCATTAAAATTTTCATACCTATTAATAGTATAATGTGTGATATAATATTGTAGCCTAATATGAATATTGTTAGTAACCTGTCTGCTTCAGAGTTGTTTAACTACTAAGAGGAAGTGTGGATTACTTAGAATTTTGTGTGAACATTTATTGGTTTAATTTTATATTTATATATGTCACAGATATGTGAAGATAATCATTTCATAATTATTTCTTCCCCTTGCTATTCTGAGTTTAAAAAAGTGGTAATTCGCTTTTTTGAGTCATTATTACAAGGTCTTTTAAAAGTTGTTTTCAAAATGTCTTACCAGGTTAGCAGGTACTTTTTATTTTTATTTATTTATTTTTTCCCCAGCAAGTACTTTTTAAGTAGAAGAGTATTACGAGGAATATTTCAGCCTGTTACTATAAATCATGTACTAATTCACTAATATGTGACCTGTTGGAGTTAATTTTACTATGGATTAACATTGGAAACAACATGGTCATAATTAAATGTATTTGATCCTTTTCTTCTTGGAGAAATGATTTTAAATTACATGTGTGTGTATATGGATTATTTTACCTAAATATGTGATTTTAAAATAGAGCGAGAATCAGACTTTATTTTGTATGTACATTACACCACATGGTAAAAAGGGAATTCAGTGAAAACAGTTAGTCTTCATAAACCTTAAGTTTAATTCCTTATTGTTAATAGAAACCTTTCCCTTTGGATAAAATTGACTAGCAAGGAGGGACTCTGAGCGAATAGTTTAAAGGATTGCATGATCATACTTCATGGTGATTAAAAATGATTACAAGAACATTTTTAACGCATGGCCCAAGAACGTAGAAAACATGCATATAGCCAATTCTATGTAGTCATCCGTAACCTAAGTTTACCATGTCTTCGTTTGGGCAGATATACTATAGCATGTCTGATAATGTTCATCTTTTCCTTTCCTTCTTTATGGCTCTCCTTTCATTTTGGCTCAAAGGAATGCACTAAATCTCAGGTATTGTAATTTGTGTGTGGTCTACTAACCCTAACTCTAAGTTTGTGAATTTGCATTGTAACTAACGGGTTTTAATATTGGTGTATTTTGCTTGTTCTTGTCCTTTACTTTGACTCAGTAAAATCTCTTAAACGTCAAACCATTAATGGTGAAGAATAGATGATGGCAGACGCTGCTTTATTTGTGCAGGTTTGGGGGCAGACTGCCCACCATTAAAGACTAAAAGTGCAGCCTACTTACTTTTAAGTTATTCTTAAATAATATGTTTTCCAAATAAAGGAAATGAAAAGGAGCAGATGGATAGACATAGTGGAATCTTATTGTTTGAAGCCTTATAAGAAATCTACTAGAAATTCACATTTTAAGTCCTATTGGTGACAAAGCTTTGGAGTTCGGGGATGCCAATGGCTGAGCAGATTGGGAGTCCTCTGGTAACATGTTAGTCAGTAGAGGTGCTTAGTCAAAAAGTTAGTGAAAAATCTTATCTCATATTTTATTTGGGAATTGTTCGTAATCAAATTCATGCATTTGTTTCATTCTACATTTTAACTGTGGTCTAAAATAGTAGTCTTGCTTTTCATGCTAATATTTGACTAACATAAAAAATAATGGGAATTTGGAGTTAAGGAAGAAAAAGGTATCTATCTCTAATAAAATTTTATGTTGTTTTTCTTATTGTGTGGGACAAAGATCATGAGTAATAGAATCCACATTAAAGGTAGCGTGTCTAAAATATAATGACTATGATAGTAGCCTTGCCTAATAACATGAACCATTTATAAAAATTTCCAAAATAGTAGAGGACTATTGCTTTATGCTTCATAAAATAGAATTCATATGAGTATTAAATTATCACAGATACCATGATGTTGTCTTTTAATAGTGTTAATTAAAAATTAAAAATGATGAGATTACTCAGAACTGTTTTTTAGAAGGAAAAAAAGTATCAGTCTTTAATATTTTAACTTCAAATGGATACTCTAAAAATGTATAGCTTTGTATTTTAAAAGATGCAACAATAAGCAATTTATACCTCTCTTAGAAAGACAAAATGTGCCAATTAGTCAAATTCCAATATAAAACTAGGAGTGGAGTTTGTCGTGTGTCCCAAGTTATGCTGCATACCTTATCTCTATTTAAAAACCAGATGTAGTTCAGGGATTAGGGGATGATACCAGTGCCCAAATTCTGAACAGCCAGTCTGTCAAAAGCTATGGATGCTAGAAGAAGCCCCAAATCCATTTACTGAGTCTCTGCCTGATGTGTCCCCACTATCCCTAGACTAGGAATGTGAAAGCCAAATAATACCAGGCAAAGAGCATTATAACGTGGATTTTAGCATCTGAACTTAGACTGCAATGTCACGTCTCCCTTCCGAGCCAGTTTCAATTTATTCTAAAATTTTCATATCCTCTACTTTTTCAGCTTGAAGTCCTTCTCTGTTTTATATGGTCATTGTTGCTGCATCCTTTTTTTGTGTGTTTTTTTTGCCCATGGTTTGTGTGTTTTTCTGTATACAGAAGTCAGGATGGGTGGATTTATGAAGACAGTAACTGGATTAATATTTATCTGGGAGCAAGGAAAGAGGAGGTTCCTGGGAATGGGTAGTCAATGACAATGGGTGCAAGAAGGAAGAAAATATACCAAATTTGATTGTGGTGATGATTGCATAACACTACTTAGTATGATTGAACTACTGAATTGTATGTGTTAATTATAGCTCAATACTGCTAATTTAAAATATAAAATAGATAGTGATTATTTCTTCAGAAACGTGATTTCTCTTGTAGTCCATCAAGAGTGTTTTCAGGACCTTTTCACTCCCCAAAGCAAGTGTGTGGAGCTTGTAGAGAAAGTGAGCACTTTGAAATTCAGTGAGAAGGGAACATTGGAGACAACTTTCATTAACATGCTCTTAAATTTTGATGAGTTGCGGTTGAGGCTGTGTTTCATACTGGCAGGAAAGAGAATGTGCCATGGGTTCTCAGTCTTACTGCGGGTAAAGGCTGCACACAGGTAGTAGAAGAAGGTCCCTAAAGAGACTAGCAGCTTGAGAGGCTGACTTGGCACTTCAGGCAGGTAAATGATTGTAGCTTACCTGTCTCCAGGCTCAGGATATGGCTGGGAATAAAAACCTCTTGTTTAATTTACCCACAATTTCTAGTTTATTCTTGACACTTGCGTAGTTGGGAAATCTGAATTCCATATAAAGATAGGAGAAGAAGTAGGACTTAAGGGGGAGGAAGGTTTAAAGCCTGGCCTTCTATAACTTTTTACCTTATTCGAGACATATGTGAAGATGTTACATACCTGCCTTCCTTATTCCTCTGTTCTGTTTATAAAAACAAACAAAACCCTAAAAACCCTTCTTCCCCTTTCCCACTCTATCTCTGTTCTCTTCCCAATTTGGAGAAAACAAAAATTGAATAGATATGAGACTGAAGAGCAGAGATCAGCTTGCTTTGCCTAAATTGTGGAGAATATGTGTGCCAAGTTGACATTTCACAAACTTCCAGCTTTTCTAAATTGGTTCCAAAATTATATTTCCCACCCCTTTTTAGGTTCTGATTGACAAAGCATCCTAACCCCAAACTTAACCAAAAGAGCATGACCATATATATATATTTGAATTAGCAGGATTTGAACATTGTTTAACAAAACATAGTTTCCATTGATGAAAACATTTGAAATAATGCAAGCTCATCAATAATGTAAAAGAACATTCTCATATGCTTAATAGTAGTCCTTGTTATGTGAATGTACACTTCAGAGTTACATGCAATATATTTGACTTCTTCAGTCGATTAGGCTTAAAGTTCTCATTACAGATATAAACAAATAATAGAAAATAGTACATAAAGTTAAGTTAATAAAATAGAAGTTGAATGCAGTGTAACAATGCAGGCTTACGGGAAGTTTTTCTCCGAAGATCAGTGATAAATGTATCCACTGCCGTTCAGTTGATTCCGACTTAGAACAACCTTATAGGGCAGAGTTAAACTACTCCCTGGAGTTTCTGAGGTTGTCAATTTTTACAGGAACACAAAACCTCACAATTTAGTCCGTGCTACTGAATAACAAGAGAAAGTGTTTTGCGTGCTGTAGGCAGTCCCTTTGGGTATCTACTGTAAGGGGCTTCAAAAAATTTATGTAAAAATTAGATTAAAAGGTAATGGAATTTCCCCAGAAACACTTTGAAGCCCTCTACCATATATTATGAAGGATTGTATCAATAGCATATTACATATAACTATATCTTATATTTAAAGTCTATATACAAGTAGAAATTACCAAAATTGAGAAAATAGAAATGTTCATATATAAGAGAAGGTTCTCACTTATTTTCAGCGAATTTATAGTTTCTCAGGGAATACAGATAAATACATGGGAAGCTAAAATATCAGAAGTCCTACAGAGGTACATAGCAGGGCCGTTTGAGGAATCAGGGATGATTTCCTGAACAGTGTTAATGCCTTGATGCAAAAGAATATATTGTGCACAGAAGGAATCTCATTTGTTGAGAGACCTAAAGGCTGGCGTTTGGAAGCCATACTGGGCAGTGAGGTCTTTTGCAAAAACTCTTTGGAGACTGAAGGACAGAGTGTGTTCCGAGATTCACTTTGAGGAAAACTATTCTGCCTCCAGGATGGAATGGATTTGGGGGTTGGAGCAGCAAGGGAGTAGGGCCTGCATGTCTTGATTAGAATAATGAAAATGGAATGGAAGTGGTGGCCAGAATTTAACTGGTTGCCATAAGCATTAACTGTAGAGGGATTTAAGTGATATCCAGAGAGAAGAAAATAGTGATACTTATGTTTTAAACTACAACTATATAAAGCTCTTACCGTATATACTCAAGTATAAGCTGACCCAAATATCAGCGGAGGCACCTAATTTTGCCACCAAAACTGCATTTAAAATGTGCTGAAAATTTTGACTTATACTCAGTAATTCATTAAATTCCTATGATTGTATTTGTGGGCCATGATTTCTAGTCTAGTAGTGTTTAATGGAGAGCCCCAGTGCCATTGTGGTTACTCATTGGGCTGTGATTTGTAGGATTGGCAAATCAAAACCACCAGCAGTTCTGAGGGAGAAAGACGGGATTTTCTATTCCCATAAACAGTTACACTCCCGGAAATGCACAGGGACAGTTCTATCTTGTCCTGTAGCATCTGTGTGAGTCTGTCCTGACTCAATACTGAGTTTGGTTTTTTGAGTGGTTGGCTTTATGCTATATCATAGATTCCCATATTTGTTTGGCCCTTTACAGAAAAAGAATTATTTGGCACCTACTCCTGGCATTTATACATTATTTTTGTATGAAAGCCCATAATCTAGGATCAAGTGTAGGTATCTGCTTTTGTGGTCCTTCTAGATAGCAGCCACCAGCCTGGGCTTGGGGTTGAGGGGTGGGCTGCCACCCACTTTGGGAAACAATGAACACTAGTACTGGAAGTGGTAGTTCCAGACTGAGAAAATGGCATGGGGCCCCATCTGATCTCCTCTGGCTACACAAGGAGGAGAATCCCACTCTGTCTGCCACAGTGGGATTCCTATGAGGCCGAGGTCAGACATGTCTGCATCCTGCATTTTTCTTTATCCTGGTCTCACACCAACCGTCTCATGCAGGCCACTCTACTTCTCTGCTGCATTCTGTGCGGACAGTGGCCACATAGAACTCCCAGGCAATACCTATTATATGGGCTTATTAGAGAAGCTAACTGGTTTTTTTTAAAAAAAAGTCAAAGATACAGTTATTTTGTATGCCACACCTCTTCTCAGCCATGCGGGCAGTCATGCCTCTCCCTGGTCCTCTCAACACTCACTGTCATGGAGTCAGTGCTGACCCAGCAACACCCCCACGCCCACCCCGTGCGTTTCTGAGGTTATAACTATTTATGGGAGTAGAAAGCCCAGTCTTTGTCCTACAGGCCTACTGGTGCTTTAGAACTGCCCACTGCATAACCACTACACCCCCAGCATTAGCCATTTGCCCC